TGAATGGAGAGCAAAAAAAATGGGTGGCTCAAATTCGAAAGCCGCGCCGGTGCGCCATGCTAGATTTTTCCTTAATAGCTGCTACAGTCAATGATTTGAAGGTGATTTTCGGCAAAGTTTGACTAGGTTAGCCGCATTTTTACAACAGTAGCGTTCCTTTTGAAATAATTATTTACTGATCTATTTCAGTATCTACTATTGTGCGAATTTTATGTAACTCTTACTTACTGGTACTGAAGGAGGACGACCGATGGTGTTTTGATGCAAGCTCGTTTCAGCAACATCGAAGCTTTGTGCAGATTTGTGCTACTGCCCGTCTAAAGCAAAAGTTATTTGTGACTGGGAGGACGATGCTCGGAATGACGTTTCTCAGCAGTACCGACAGGTCATGGCCTGCTTTCACACAGCCTACAACAGCGTTGTTCGGGGTCCCACATCCTGGAATGGTCGAACCCTAAAATGCCCTAACATGTTTGGTCACGATTCGGGGAATCTTCTTTTCGCACAGACAGGTCTCGTACTAAAACAAATTTATCGATTTGGTTCTTTGACCAGGAGAACTACAGATAATTTCGAACCTACTAGAGCCATAACATCTACTTAGAGTATACACGCTTCATTACCCACAAATACCTCAAGTGGACCGTTTTCTTTTTCGATTAGGTGGGTTCCTTCCAACTTTTCGTTCCCGGATGCCAGGATGCGTACTACTGGCTCAATCGATTTGAATCGGAACCTCTACCGGAGGCCGTTTCCAAAAGCCTACAGTTTCAGTTTGAAAAACTCGTCGTTCTCGACTACATCATCCGCAATACCGGTGAGTCACCTGTCTTTATTATCTCATTTGGCAACTACCTTGCGACTTCTTGTTGTTAAAAGTCTTTTCTTTTCCTACTCCTCTTCCCTGCATTCTATGCCTTTGACGTTTCAGATCGTGGAAACGACAATTGGCTTATACGGTATGATATACCCCCAATGAAAGAGGTGGCAGCGGAAACGGTAAGTCACATTTTTTCTACTTCGAGTGTTGTCAAGTAATCGTTTTTCTGGCTTCAAAGCCTTAAGCACAATCTTCTTTTACCAGTTTCAATAATCCAGCCTCTCACTTTATGTTGGTATTTATTTTTTCTTATTTTTGGCGAACGCATGTGCTCGCTACCTGCCAGTTCGGCAGTTGCAAGCGATGACCACCATTGCTGCTCGATGAGGTCTCCCATCCGTGCTTACTTAAACGTTAGTTGGTTTATGGGGAAGCAAACCGTCGAATCATCTACTTCACTTTCCTCCTGCACCCTCCTTGTTCCGATAAGTAGACAATGTGAAAGCCACCGAAGGTGCACGCAGATGCAATGGTTAACAAAGCAAAAAGTCCATCTATGCGTGCAACGCACGATCTGCTCTTATCATATATGCCAAGCTACGTTTATTGATGGTTCTCAGATCCTACATACGTGAGGATGTCATAAAGTTCAAAGTAAGAAGCCACTGCGATCCGACTACGAGCATTGAGAAGTGTCGAGTCATTACGTTAGTTGGCACCATTCCGAGTCAACACTGATAACGCGTCGTGGCAGATTCAACCACGTTAAAGTTATAATGAAAAAAACGCACTGCTATGCCGTGGGGCTGAATTCCTGTTACCGGCCCCACACTCTCTTCACTCCCATGCACTGTTCGTCTGTCCAAAAACTGGTAGAAGCGGAGTCATGTAACTATTCAGTGATTCTTTATGGCAAACATGACAGCCCTCTCGCCGGGGGCTTCCATTTGACGAGAATGACTGCTGCGTCTCCTTTCTGTGTCTTTGCACGTCTGGCAGCCAATGCCTCCAGTTAATTATGTTCGGAGAGACAGATCTGACCGAGATCCGCAACGCTCGCTTTGTTGCTGGCCGGTTCCAGGTCTATCAGAGCCGTCCCTCTCCGGGTCAGTTTGTCATCGGACTGCCTAAAGGCAAGTAAACCATCCAAATTGTTACAGTGCAAACTGCCCCTCGAAGGGCCGTGAGTAAGTGTGCGGATGGCAACGGGAATTTACAGCGACGTTTTTACCAGCATGTTTGGGATATCTCTTCTATTTCCTTTCCGACGAGGGAGTACGTAGGGCTCCCCTAAATAGCGTTACTTGCGAATAAGAAAAAAAACAGGTGTAGCACCGGAATAATTTATTTTTCTGTACGTTCTAACTCATGCAGGTTTCCATCTTCAGAGCACAACAGAACAAGTAACAGTTATAGCGGGTGCAAGCCAATTAACGAATAATGACGCAAGTCTAGAGCTGACGACGCAGAGCTCTGTATGACCTTGCCAGAGCGATACATCGATTGACTGCGTCCTCATCAAAGGCCTAGGCTTCATTCAATTCTCGACTCGTATTCCTTCTTGCGTAGGCGATTATCTTGACGTCCGCGAAGTTGTTTCGTAGGTGTGGACAGCCGACTGCGATAATTCCCGTCTCACAGGCAGCTTATGCTCACTTTTGCGCAATACGAGTATGTGTTCAGTCCGACCTGTGTAATTATAAAGACACTTTAGGCACGGGATGCGATATACTACCCCAGACTGCTTCTTCGGGATTCAATTGGTCCTTAATTTTCTTGAAATTACCGGTGTGCAATTGCAACCTTCCTGCACATAAGCCAATGTGCAATTCCGACGTATAGTCTCCCAACAATGCACTCGGTCGCCTCCGCGACATCGTTACTGTTTTTGTTTGGGTCCTCAGAGGCGAATCTGCAGGCATCGGTTTACGACCTCTTTTGGATAATCATTCTGTCTAACTTAGTCGTGAGGATTTCGGGCCCTGTGTACTCTTTCTCCCTCTTTCTTGTAATAAGTTCCGCTCCTCCGGAAGATTTTTCTCAGCTAGCTCCGTTTTTGAGCCACCGGGTGGTTGCCATGAGAATTACGAAGCTGTATTATGTTCTTTGCCTTTCTGTCTCAATTTCATTCTTCGAATTTCGTTTGATGAGCACGTCAAGGTAGGGCGGCTGCTGCCATTTTTTATTCTTCTCTCGTGAATTGTATATCAGAGAAAATCGATTCCGAAAATTTGTGAAAATTCCGCATCCTGTTCTTCTTGACGACAAAAACCGTGTCATCAACGCAACGCTGCCAAGAGATCGGCTAGTGTTTGTTAAAAGCAGTCTTCTTTTAACTCTTGTAGGGCCAGTTCTACTACCAACCCGGAGACCTCAAAGCCCCGTAAAGCTCCCTAGATTTGCTCAACTTTCTTTAACAAACGTGAGGTTATTTGACGAACTCGGGTCAGTTTTATGAAATGCTTGGTTTTTAGTAGACTTCGAGTCTCGTAGTCTCATCAAGTCTCCTGCGCAAGACCTTGGGTGCCAAATTCAGTGGGATGGATGTGAATAAGGACGTCCCGTCGAAATTGACTATGATGTCGTTCGATTCAATCGTACGTCCTAGGAAGTCGAGGATGCTAACCGAACTAACATAGTCTGATTGTCCTGGAGGAAATTCAGTTTTGAGTACATCTATGGTGCTAAAATATAGGCGGGGCTGTTGTTT